CTGCTCCGATTGCAGAAATGCAGTCAGGCAGCTTGAAGAGCAGCGTGGGGCTGGCAAGTCTGTTGTGGGGGAAGGGGTGAAGGCAGCTAGAGGCCCTTGCAGGGAGGGGAGGGAGTGGGGCTGGGGCAGGCACTGTAGCCAAAGCAGGGTGCAGAACAGAGCTGCAAGCAGCTCGTCAGGCAGGGATCGGCACAGTGGGCAGCTCCCGCTGCTGCAACCACCCCAGGAGGGTATGAGGGGCCTGCGCCCCAGATCTGCACACAGATTGAGGGCAGGCTGCCGCTGCAGGCTGCAGTGAGGGCAACGAGCTCTTCCTGGTGGGGGGGTTGGGCTGGGCTGGGCTGGGCTCAAGGCAGGTGGTGGCATTGGGAGGAGGGTTGCAGGGGCTGCAACCACCCCAAAATTCACCATAGCCCCCCCAACCTCTTTCTTCCCAGTGCCGCTGCCCACCCTGAGTGCAGATCAGCCCAACCCCTGGCCAGGAAAAGCGCAGTGCCACCCCGGTCTCCAGCAGCAGCCTACCCTTGCCCAATGCACAGATCTGGGGGCACCCCCACCATCCTGGGTGTGCACAGCAGTAGGAGCCACCCCCCATGCCCCCTGGGGGTGCTGCTTGCAGCTCCATCCCACGCTTTGCCCCGGCTGTGCAGTGCCTATCCAGCCCCACTCCTTCCTTCACCACTGGAGCCTCAATCACAGACTTACCAGCCTGACCTGGCTGCACTCCACACTGCTGGGCTCTGCTCCTGGCCACCCATGTGCTGCGCTGCAGCTGTGCACGTGCACAGGGCATTTATCAGTGATATTAAATAATCCACATCAGCCAAAAAATCCCCAAAGCCAATACTCTCAATTTCCTTCACATTGGTCCCATATTAGATCAGGACTGATTATATCGGTGCACCTCTAGTTAGAACCTTAAAAAGAGGTGCGCATACAGCCAAGCTTCAGAGATGGCTCCCTGACACTGGGCTCCCTGTGAACTGGGAAGCTCAAATGGACTTGCAGACAACCTGGAACTAGGAGCAGCTCCTGAGCTGGGCCCACATGTTGCGTGTTAAAAGTCTGCATCATGCTTTAATTTGAACATTTCTGCGGCATGGATTTTTTGTGCTATTTTTCATTGGACCAACTGTACAGTTGTGGCTGGTGTGCCATTTTTATTGCAGGATACAGGTTAAGTGTATGGCATGTTATCATTTAATATGCAACCGAAACAGTAATTGCACAATAAGTGTAATGCGTGTCAGGGGTACTTGATAACTTGGAGAAAGGGTCCAAGATTATTGAACTTCATTCAATAAGGACAAGTCCAAAGAGCTTACACTTGGGTCAGAACAATTCAATGCAAGCACTGGGGAATGACGGACTTGGCTACTACAGAAAAGGACTTGGGGATTATAATGGACAACAAGCTGAATGCCTTAGTGTGCTACTGTAGGGGAAAAAAAGCCAATGGCATACTGGGCTATATGAACGGGAATGCGGCATGCATGTTATGCAAAGCACCTCTTCTACTCTGTTCAGCACTGTTGAGAGCCCACCTGGAATATCATGTCCAGACTGGAGCACCATGCTTCAAAAAAGGAAGCATACAAATTGGAGAAGCCAGCAAAAGCAACAAAAGAGTGTGATCAGAGTCTAGAAGACATGACATAAAAGAAAAGGTTGGAAGAACTGGGAAGTCTAAAAGGGGAAGATTTGAGAACAGTTTTTCAATACAAAAAGAGATGGCAACTGAATCTGTGTCCACAATGGACCAGAAGAGTAATCGTCTTAAAATGCAGCAAGGGAAATTTAGATAGAAAGTTCTTCATAATATCCAAACTATGACAATGGTTAAATACTGGAACAGAATATATAGACAGGTTGTATGAGCTCCATTAGCAGAAGTTTAAATTGAGATTAGGCAGCCATTTGTCCAGGATAGTTTAGAGACAGATGCAGGGGGTTGGACTAGGCCCCCCAAAATCCCCTTTAGCCTGTTTTTGCTGCAATTCTGTGAATTATCTTGCACACTGAAGTGCACGAACACTTTAGCTACACTACACACATTATTCATCAGTGCACTCCTAATTCAGTTCAACGCATTGTTAGCACGCACAGCCAGCTTTTACCATAATTCGTGTAACATCTGCAAGTTCAAGGGCTAAATGAAAATTTGCCTCCTTGATATTTTCCGTAAACAAGATTTGCAGTTTTAAAGAGGCGATAGAAGGCCTTAGAAGGGGCTATTTAGCAAAGAAACAGGAAATCTGAAGTACTACCTTTGCAGGTTTAGGACACCATTCTTTTAAAACAAGGGAAGAGTAAGCCCATCCTATTGCTGTTCACTAGTTATCTGTATAGCAAGCCTGTCACAGCTGTTAATTGCTCAGCTTTCTACAACAGCCACCTTTAAGACTAATAAAGTTAGAGTCTGCAGCCTTCACTCCATCCAGACTCCCACCAGAGTCAGTGGGAGATCGGTGTATGAACTTGAGCCCTAAAATGATTCTGTGCCAAACCCCATATTAAGAAAACCCAACCCCCACACACCAAAGCGCATGATGTATATGCCACTTGATGGATTTACCCGTGAATTTCAGTTCTGGATGGAGTTCATCTTCAAACTGTTTCCCATAGATGGAGGCACCCCCTCTACCTATGCAGCAGAAAGAAAAGCGGACAGGATATAAGCAAGTCTACAGTATTTTCAAGGGCATCATCCATTACACAATTGCTAGCAGACAGCTGAGAAAAAAAAAGCAATGTTTTCCCAATGATAAATTGCTAGAACTCTGCTGGTCGTGTGCAGTGCTCAGAAACAGGGACTTGAAAATACAGCTTCAGCTGGCAGCAAGGGCAAAGGGCCTGCCTGGGAATCCCCCCACAGCAAAGGCTAATTGGGGGTGGGTGTTATGCACCGATCAGATCCTGCCACCTGTCTGCAGGGAGACTCCTTGCCCTTCCCTTGGTGTAACCAGCCATAGCAGGGGCTGACAGGAGGTCACCAATCCTCCTGCCCACCCCATCAGCCCCTGCTTCTATTTGGAGGACTTCCCTTCACTCTTGCCACTTAGGCGAGGTGGTTCACATACTTCCTGTGGGCAGGGCTCAATTCAGCTTGCTGTCCCCTGGCTCTGCAGGGATTGGGGCCGCTTCCAGGCTAGGGGCAGATCTGCTCGTTGTCCCCTGTCTCCACTCCAGCCCTGCCTCTGTTGCTGTCCAGCAGCAATGGGGACGGGGCTGCGTGAAAGCTGCCCCAGGTGCAAAGGGCTGAGGAGGGAGTTTCTACTGCCTGGTCACCCCTTGCTGCTACTGCAGCCCTGTCCCCAGGCCCTCTGCTACCAGCCCCCCGGGAACTCCCAGACCCGGCCCATAGTTAGTGGGAGTGGGACGGGAACAACCCACCCTGAGGGCTACAGAAAGCCAGCAACCCTCCCTCCCTCCCAGGGAGATGGGAGCAGGGCACTGTGACAGGGTTGGCAGGGACCTGGCACAACCACCACAACATCCGACACTTTTTCGGGATCAGCCACTGAGTGTGCATTGGGGTACAGCTGCACTGTGCAAAGGGTTTTTTTAAGTGCGCTTTGGAGCTGTCAAGTGAATCACAAGGGCCACGTGGCAGTGCTGGAGGGGGACTTTACAGAGAGTCCATTCTCCAAACAGAGCCTTTATTTTGTTTTATTTATATACATACACACATTATTTATCATTTTATTTGCAAAAAAATAAAGGCTCTGTTCAGAGAACTGACACTTTTTTTTGAGCATTCACGAATTCGGGGCCCCTGCCTGAAGTCTACCGTTGAGCCTGGCTGGAACAGGAGGCCAGGGCTCCCTACCCGCTGCCAAGAGGGGCATCCTGCGGTGACCTGGGGGCAAACCCGCTCTTCTGGGGGCGGATCAGTCCTTCCCCCCCCCCGAGGAGCAAGCTGCAGCACCTCTGGCGGACGCTCCCCGCACACATCCCGCCCCGGGCCTCACCCGTGCCCGTGGGGTCGCCGCCCTGGATCATGAAGTCCTTGATGATGCGGTGGAACTTGGTGCCGTTGTAGTAGCCCCGGCGCGACAGCTCCGCGAAGTTCTTGCAGGTCTTGGGCGCGTGCTTCCAGTAGAGCTCCAGCACCAGCGAGCCCATGCTGCGGGGAGACGGGGCAGCCGCTAGCACCTCGCCCCGGGGGCGCCGGCGGCATCTCCCGCTGCCCCCGCCCCCCGGCCCCCCCAGAGCCC